TATTTTAGCAAATTCTAATTTCATTTTTAACTTCTGGGGGTTTTTGTTGTTTTGTTTTGTTTTGTTTTTTTACTTTTGTAATGTAAATTCTCATAACAACATTTTGGTTTTTATTTTTCTCAAGTTCTGTTTAGTGATTTGATGCTGGTTTAAACAAGGACAGTCATGGCATCTGTCAGAGAGACACTGCCAATAAAATTTGGTGTATTTTTTTCCAACAGAGACTATAAAGAACATCTCTGACTATAATGTCATCCAGAAACATGGTTGTAAGAGAGGCTCATATCTTCCTGTTTGCTCTCACCTTGAGATTTATTGTAATGGAAGTTAGTGTCATAAGAAAATTCAAGGTTGTTTCCTTCCCAACACGTCCTGCAAATTGCACTAAGCAGCAGGAGAGAATTGTTTTTACAAGTGTAAGAAACCGAAAGGTTAATTTTGGAGGCATTTCAAATGTTCTACCATCCAATATTGTCCCTTTCTGTCAAGCATATGGTAGATGCTCCTGATTGAAACAGAAGGGCACAATAAAGTTCAGGTTACTTTTAATGCAGTGATTGGTGCTTAAGCCAATTGTGTTAATAAAAGAACAGGATAATTATGACAAAAACTGTCATCGTATCTGGATTACAGCTGCTCTCTTATATAAATTTTCCATAGAAGAAGCACTGTTTAACCTCAGAGAGTGGAAGGTAAAAGGAGAAGATTGCCCTTTCATAGTCACCTTTTCTAGACATGGCATTCACTGAAACATTCAGAGGGGGACTTCTACCAGCCAGTATTTGTATCTGTTGTTGAGTCACTGACAAAGACAGTTTCCTCCTTTTCATGTGTTTTGCCTTCCATTTCTGAATTCATCCTTTGTTACAATGAGCACTTCGTGGGTTGGTCTCAGTTTGGGATAAAGACACCTAAAATTAGGTGTTTGCAAGTAAGTGTCTATAGGTGATCTTGGTGCCTGAACAACTGCTATAGTCAGTACCCTCAGTGGAGGTTAGGGAGATCCAGCTGCCAACCTGGCGAGAGCTCAATCCCTTTACTGACTCTCTCTGTGTCCCTCAATCTAATAGTAATTAGGGTTCTATTCAATTAGTAAACATAGGTGTCCAGTGTCATTTCAGACGACTTAGGAAATCTCCACAGCTGGCAGATATAGCCATGACCTGCAGGAAACCTGTGCTCTTCTAGACTTGCAGCTGAAGGCCAAATGAGCATCTCAACAAATTTACAAGGGCATCTTGAAAAGCTTTAGGCATCTATGTTTAGGCACCTGAATCAAGACCTTACATTTAGGCATCTTAATTTAGATGTCTCAGTCTTGAGCTGAATGTACTGCATACAAAGGATTTTTGAATCTGAGTTACCTTTAATCGCTGAAGAAGTCTACAAGAATCACATGTTCCTCAGAGGGAGGTGGGGACTCCTCCTGTAGCACAGATTATGGGGAGGATCTCTATGGATACTAAATCTTTCCATATGTGGAAAGCACTGCTGTTAAGCCTAAGAGGCTAAAGAAATCCAGTCACAGAACTGGAGAATTAGAGTGGCAATATGCAGTTTCATCTGCTCATACAAAGAGAAGATATTGACTGCTTCTGTTAAAACAGGGATTAGATAAAATATCAATGTCACAGTTATTTTAAACAGCCTTAATACATTCTTTTTTCAAATTAGATAAGTCAATAAGTGGGAAAACAGGTTTCCAGACCACCTTTAGTAGAATACTGTTAGAATAATAATTAACAACTAACAACCCACTTATTCTTAGTGAGTAAAGGTTTACTGGAGCAAGACAAATAAAAATAGAAAATGTCTATTTAAATTCCAAACAACCATGGACTCCTTTTCCCCATAGGAACTGAAAAATAATTATCATCTCTGAAAATTAGTTTATTGATTTTGATGGCTACATATGATTCAGGTACTTCACTTCAGCCTAAATTGAATATTCTATTTCTAGTGGTTTCCATAAAATACTACCATGGAAATAGAAGAAAGACATATCTTGGATTCCTGGAAGTGGCAAGATAGACAATTACTCTGATCAATAAACATTTTGGCAGTACAGTTCAGTACTTAACCTCTACTGGGTCTTGGCTCAGATAGACTAGGAAATGCACTGAATTTGTTGAATTGTCAAACCATTTTTACTGCTTTAACAGTATCTTCTCGTCTTTACATTGATTTCTTCTCCTGACATCTGTTCTAAATCTTAGTAAGTCCCCAAAGACAGTGGAACCCAAGTTTCAGCCTGGTCGTGGTTACAGACTTCACCCAGGATCTTTTCTCCACCAGAGCTGAGAAATTGCAGTCTACCAGCTCTCCACTGGCATGGGTTGTTAAGGTTGTCTTCTCCCAGGTCAGAAACCATACTGATGGCTTCAGCTTTCTCTGTCAGTGAAAGAAAGGACACAAAACCTGCTTCCTTCACTTAACTCAATGCTTCATTTCTTTCTCAAGAGTTGCCACAGGCTGAGCGAAGAGATCACGGTGACCAATTCTCCTACACCTAGTGTAGGAAGAACAGCTCAAGGAGAGACCTTCCCACTCTTTCTTCACAGGGAGTTTTGTGGTAGGAGCATTGAAACCAGTATCTCAACAGTCATCTGTTTCAGTGTATGCATGAATTTCCGGAAGTGGCCTCTTTTCTTGGAGCCTCCCATGAAGCATGTTTCTCCTTAATGTAGTGGTGACCCAATATGCGCATTTATGCAATGAGTGCTAAAAGCACTCCGGGTTTGGTAAGTAACAAATCTCCAGTAGGAGTCATAGCTGCTCCATGAAACAAGAAAAGCAAGGTCACACAAAGCTCACTGCCTTTTCTTCCATCTCTACAAGATGGAAAGTAGCCAAAGAGTTGAGAAATATGTTGTGTGGGAGCATGCAGCACGTTTTCAGGCGATCTTCACAGGTCTCTTGCCCGTGGCATGACTGACGTGAGCTTCATGCACCCACACTGTGGAGCAATTTTGTTGTCTGAGGAATGCTGTCCATCTTACATCCTACCTATTGATGGGGTCTTGGTGAACCTGCTTCATGGTCCTGCTTAGCTCTGATCCTTTCAATAGCAAGGATTTGAAACTTCAGACATTTTCAGAGGCCCAAGGATCAGACAGGCTTGGTGCAGTTTTGACATCAGACCTTAGGAGCAGAGTTACTTCTGGTGCCTGAGGGGGTGGTGAGACATTTTAAGTAAGTAGTCAGATGTATTCCTGTCTTCTTGAACCTGCACAATGACATTAGCAGAAAGAGTGTTATGAGTGTGCTTACAAGGGGAAGACAAGTTTCTAAAAACTTTCCAAGAAAATAGTCCATAAGGAATTCTGAAAGTTAAAAAGAATTCAGACGAAAACTGTAGGAAGGATTTGTGACCTGAAGAGAGAAAATCAAAGGAAGTGAACTTAAGTTTTGAAAGCCGAAGAATATTGCAGAGTGGTTAGAAATGCCTATAAGAGAAAGATATCAGATAATAGCATGATTTCAAAAGAAATAGTAGGTCATTCCCTAACAGCAATATCGAATGGCTGGAGGCTGAAGTTTGAAAATAAATTGAAGAATTAATTAAACTGCCAGCTACAATAATTGAAAACAGAGCAAATCCATTTGTTTTGCAGATAAATTACTTTGCAAACAAAAAGTTTTCTCTGTGGAAATGTGGATGTTTTCTCTCTATTTTCAGTACAAATATGCTGTTTGATACCTTTGTGGTTCAACTTTTACTAGAATGTTGCCATGTTGATACAAAGATTACAGTTCTCATTATACTTTGTTGCAGAAAGGTCTTATGATGTATATAGTTTCTCAATAAAAAGGGAGAGACAAGTATAACGAAATATATAAATTAATGAGATTTGATTATGGTGAGTTTGAGCAAATCACACCTCCTGTGTTTTGAATTGTTTTCAGAAGCATTCTGAGAATAAATTGCACTGATTTCAGGATTCAACATAATTAATGGGAGGGAAAGGTTTTCTAAGCAGTTCTAGTTAGTACATGCTAGCTGATTAAGTATATGATTAAGTACTTGTTGCTCAGACCCCTCTTAATCAAGACTTGTTATCTTTTTAAAATGTATATTCAGTTAAGAAGAAAGAAAGTTGTGTTTCTTTCATAAACATGAAATTCTGGTTGAATATATACCTATGCTCTTGAAAACTAGGCAAGTAGTACATCTGACTTTCCTTTAATTAAACTATGAAAATACCTGAAAATTTTAGAGTCAGAGAAATAGAAAATTATTGCAAAACTGACTGTATCTTTTGACCTACTTATGCATGCCAAATTTTCTGTCAAATATGCTTCAGTAAATACAATAAAAGAAGTTTGTATGTCTGATAATATTTCATAAACTTCATACAAAAAGAGTGTGAAGACAGGTCAGTTGAACTTCATGGACCATAGGTCAATTTGCAAAATGAAAAAGAAAAAAAAAGAGAAAGAAAAAGAATAAAGTCAAACTTCCACAGAGAGAAGGTACCAGCTACATGGAAACCTGGTTAGGTCTTACTTTGCTGAAATTCTTTCCTTTGCACTGTTTAGGTGCCTCCTTTGACTTGGTTCCTAGTGATGCTCTAGGGAAAAGTTACACAGATGGCAGAAACTTGCTACAAGAAGAATTTACTGTCATTCCTCCCTTTAATAGACGAGAATGTAATATTCATTAAAAAGATTCCAAACTTCAGTCATCCCCTAATGATCATGCAAATTCCCTCATCAATGCATAATAGAACAAAAGAGATCTGTGCATTAAGTATCACTTCTACCACTTTCTATGGCATTTCATTAAAATGTTGTATTTCAAGTAACATTTTGCAGAAGTTACTTATCAGATTTGCTTATGGGACACATCAGAGTAAGGAGGAAATGACAGATGCGTCCCTGCAGTTCTGCTTTGTTTTGCTTGGCTTGGCCAGGCTTTGATGTGACACAGGTAAAACCCATAAAATATTTATGCTTGGTGTTGATTTTTATTTCTGCAACACAAATGAAACACCAGGATTCCCTTCAGGATGTGGGAAGATTTCATGAAAATCCTTGCAGACGCTACAACTACAAACAAGCAATAAGAAACTCTGTGCTACTTATGCCCATACTTGAGCAAAACCAGGAAGGTATGTTTAGTTGGGGTGCTGGTTGGTAGCGATTTATCTGTCTTTAGGTTGCTTTACGTAATATTTTTACTCACAATAGCACAGATCCTTAAAAAAAAAAAAATTAAAAATTTGCATCATAAGCCCTGTCATCTGCCCAGAGTTATGGACGGGAGTGAGAAAAAGCTGCAGTGAGTTATGCTCAAGAAGTAAATGTTGACAGGAAGAATCTCAAGTCAGAGTTAGGCTGGGAAACTGGGCTGCCAGTAGGAGGGAAGAAAAAGAAGGATGGACATCTGAAATTTAGTCCAATTTAGGTTCCTGCTCTGAATTGCTCTCAGGATGCTCTTTCCGTTGATTACCTGAGGAGTCCACAGAATAACTTTGTAACTTAGATAGGGTGTCTTAAAACTTCTTGCATTGACCAAGACCTCTTCTTTCAAGTGCATTTCAGCTATTACATGCCTGGAATAGCTGTGGGGAAATCATATATGATTGCTGCTTTCCTTCTACTGGAAAAACCTAAAATTTAATTCACCATGAAATAAGACCATATGCTTAAATGATAGCTAAAATGGCTGTGAAGCTGCTTGAGCTTTGTGAGAGCAGAAAAACTCATGAAATGCCTGAGGAGATTAACAAAACAGCAGGCCTCTGATGGCGTGTCCTTCTGGTCAGTGTACCATGCTCAGGGGCTGGGAGAGCATATCACGCTGGGAACAACCCCCCACTTAGACAGGGTTGGTTTGGTTGCTGTAAGAAGATGTCTAGAGCAGTTCAGTGAACAGCAATAATATTTTTTAAGGTGAGAAATGCAGTATACACCCCTTGACCTTGGTGTGCTTATCCACCTCTGAGGATATGAGTTTCATTTTCTCCTTGTTTGTAACAGCATGCTGGAAAATAACAAGTCAAGGCTCTGGATTCATCTCAGATGAGGTTCATTTATCAGGTACCAAGTTTCTCTAAAAACAATTCAACTTCTACATAACAGAGAGTCAGTAAGCATTAGATTTTTTTTGATAACTTTCTTCCCAAGTCTGTGAGTACAAGAATGTTTCAATATCGAGGTTTTTCTTTATCTGATGATGACACTGTTCAAAAGGGAGTGGGGTTGAAGTGAGGAGTACAAAGTCATGCTTGGGTAACTTTAATTGTTAATAACTTGCTCATTTATAATTGGTTAAAAATCCTCCCAGGTTTCAGTTGTTAGTTCAATGGATTAACAACACAAGGACACTGACCTGCTGTCTCTTTGCAGTAGGAACTTGCTAAGTGGAGATGCAGGAGCATTGAGCTCATTATGCATACTGGGCAAGGGAGGATCAATCCTACTTCAGAGAGGGAAGGTGGAGAGCAGAAAATGTGGTAGAATTAATGGAAAGGCTTTATATATATATATATATAATTTTTTTTTCTGCTATGCTTTCTCTAAAATGTGACAAAAAGAGGAATCTGTGTTAGGTCTGAAAGTATGACTAGGTGTAAAACCAGATTGTACCATTTAAAGGGAAAAACATCACTCTAAGAATTACTTTGGCTTGTCAAAAATGTCAGGCAGAAAAGAGGATACAACCAAGCAAGCAATGGATTTAAACCATATCGGATTTGAGGAACAAAAAGATCGCTGTGAGAGTTCTCCAAGAAGGGAGATGCTTTGCTGAGTAAATTATTTATTTCCATTCCTGGTTTCCACAAATAATAGAAGAAATCTGATTTCCACCATCATCTTGCTGCAGTTTAGATAAGTGACAAATTATGGCAAGGTGTTTGCTGTGGGACACCAATACAGCTCTTGTGGATCAGCACACTCCTGTTCTCTGGACCATGAGCTAAAGCTGAGGAAATAGGTGGCTCTAATCTGGCTTTACCCCTGAAGGGCTCAAAGAATTCAGGCTGTTTGCTGTCTTCCATCAGCCAGGGCCCTGTCCCAGAGATTAATTTACAAAAATTTAAGATAGAGAAGGAATTTGACCAAAGCTCTGCAACTCTAACTCAATTAGATTGCTGTCAATTTTTTAGTATACCCATTGGCAGGATCAGACTCCTTAAGTTAAATCCATCTGATGGATCTGTTTTTCAATTGGAAAATGCAGTTGTATTAAATTTTGAGAGTACAATTTGATTGCATTTTTCAGAGGAAAAAGTCCAGCTGGCTTGTTTTGACAGTGTCAAAATGCTTTTTGTATTTATGTCTCAATTTTATTTAATAAATTAGATACTGTGCATTGTAGAATACTTTTTTATAATACATGGCATTATCACAATGAAATGTTTTTGTTGTTTTTGACTGAAACTATCTAAACTTTTACTCGATGGGAAATTTCACCATGGTGGCTCCAAGTTTTTTTGTTTAGAATTGAAAATAATGACAGAGAAGTCATTATTTCCCAAAAAACAACAACAAAAAGCACTGTTTTTCATCCAGGTCTACCACTGACAATGATTGGAGAAAAACTGGAGAGCAAGTTGAAAGGATTTGGAAAAAGTAGGCAACATTCTCAAAGCAATAATATTTATGACATGTTCCTATTAGTATGATAGCTCATTCTGCTCTGTCAGATGCCAGGTTGATAATTTACTGGAAAGTTGCTGCCTAGTAATGAATAAATTTTCTTATCTAGTATATACAGATGTTTTCATCCCTACTGCCTATTTCAGGGTTTATACCTTGTCCTACTCTCATATCTGAGCAATACCCACACAAATCAAGCCTCAAAGTGAATTCCTTACTGGGACTCAATTTCCCATTTTGGAAATGGTACTTTGCCCATCAGTGTCCCTGGTGTAGAACGTGATGATGTTCTGCCCTTTTTTTGGCATCCAAAAGTTACATGGTTGAGTCTACCCTCATCAGATGAAGTGACATTGTCACTGGAGATAAATGGGCTCAAACGGTCTATCAAAGATAGGCATTTACCACTGACCTCCATTTCATTAGGAATATTAAGACAAGTAAATACCAATCTGTGATTAAAAAAAGCTCTGAAATGTATAATTTCCTTAAGGAAAGTATAAAGAACAGTTTTTTTAAGCAAATCCAGAACTCTTTTCAGGTAACGTGTGGCTGAAGGCTCTTGAGAAGTGTCTCTGAATGTCATCCTGAAGATAGGTTTTACCTGGCTACACAACAAAGTTCCTGCTCTAAGGAAGCAAAGTATGTAGATTTACAAAAGCCTCGCATTTTGCACAACAGAACTAATATAATGCCATACCTACAGTCTGTTGCCATAAAGAACTGTGGATTTATTATTTGAGATGCAAAAATGCTCTCTACTGGACTCCGTTTCCCTAAGTCTTTAAGCTAGATTCACAGACAGTTTCAAAGCTCTGGGTTCAGCACTTGTACCTTTTTTACTAGATAGAACACAATGACAGAGCTCTGGCCTTCTACCAAGTCAGAGAATTTCCTTAGAAAGATTTACACGAGGACTCATTACACACATACTCCACAGAAGGATTTCTTCTGATTCCTACATTGCTGTTACTCATAATGCACTTTACTCAACACTTGCTTTAGCTTTGATGCAAAAATAGTTTTGCATTTGTTCATGTACAACCTACAGTTTAACAACAACTCACAACTTTCAATACTTAAAGGAGGCTTATAAGAAAGATGGGGACAAATTTCTTGGCGGGGCCTGTTGTGTTAGGATAAGAAATAATGGTTTTAACTTAAAAGAGGGAAGGTTCATACTAGATATAAGGAAGAGATTTTTTCACAATGAGGTTGGTGAATCACTGGCACAGGTTGCCCAGGAGACTGTAGAAGCCCTGTCCCTGGAAACATTCAGGGTCAAGTTGGATGGGGCTCTGAGCAACCTGATGTAGTTGAAGATGTCCCTGCTCATTGCAGGAGGGTTGGAACCAGAAAGCTTTTAAAGGTCCCTTCCAGTCCAAAACATTCTATAATTCTATGAATTTATTTGATTCCTGTTTTTCCCCCATTTATATCACTATAGCTCAAAACACTTAGCTAAAGATGTAATACCTTTTGAGGCAACCAAACATATAAAAACTACTTATGACCACCCTAATAAGAAGTGGCATAGTCTGGCTTGTCCCAACACTGTGTGCAGTTGTCCAAGCAATGCTACATCCAATACAACTGCTATTCGGGGATTTTCATAAAAATCATTAAAATAAAAACAAATACCAGGGGGTGGAACATGAGCCAGAGGCTGTGATGCTGCTCTAGATGGTCAGAATTGACAGGAGGGACCTGTGTCATTCCTGTGGGACAGCAGCTAAAAGGGACTGAATGGCAGGTGATGAACTTTCTCTCAAATATATTTGCCATGTGACCATATAACATGGCCTTCCTCCCAGTGCACATCTTGCAGCTCTATTTCTAGCTGTGATTTGCAGGCAGGTCATTTTTTGCTCGTGTAAGAACAGCAGAATTATTAATATTTCCAAGTGTATGTCACATAAAAAAAGAAACAAATGTGTATTTACATTTATCTTGCTTTGCATTTATGGACAAAAGTCCTACAGACCCTCCCCTCTAGCAGACAGCTGCAGGTATGCACAGGAACCTGGCAAAAAAAAAAAGTTTTATCAACTGCAAAGGTGTGCTGTAGCAGCATCTGTTTCATTGCAGGGCAGTGATGCTGTGGCAATGAGTGTGTCCCAACAGTATGCAGGACAGAGATGCTCAGAAAGATGAGGGACAGCAACCAAACAGCATTTAGGGACTTTCAGAAGTGTTTGCACTGATCAGATGCTACTGCTCAGGAGATACTCCACAGGAATACAGGAGTCCATAGACAACAGGTCATATTTCACATAAGAAATTATGTCAGCCTTCCTCCAGCCCTGTCAAAGCAAGAAGGAATAGAGGGGATAGAATTACAAGTGACCCCAATAAAGTTTGATCTTGGCTGGGAAAACCATGGTGAGCAGTAATAAGGGCTGATGTCAGAAGGCCACCTGTGAGCTACAGGGATGGGATTTTCAGGGGCAGAGCTGCAGCTCACTGCATTGCAGAGGCTCCAGGCAGCTCCCACCAGCCTGCCCTGCTCCAAGGGCTCTCCAGTTCTGTTCAGATCATTTCCCTGTGCTGTCTAATTACAAGATCTTTCTGACTCCTTACACACTCCCAAACTGCAGGTTCATTATCTGAGCCCTCTCTTTACCCAAATTCTCTGCTCTGAGGGGTCCCACACAAACACACAGGAAACATTCACAATTGCACCAGAGCTCTTTTTATACTTCAGCCAACAAGCACCCTGTAAAAAAGTCCCACAAAATCTAGTTATAACTGGGAAGCTGCGAAATAGGTGTAACATGAAGAGAAAGGAAAGGGACTGATTTCATGAGTACATTAGCAGGGTGAAACACCAAACATAGAACCCTCCAAGGCAGTGACATTTGGAGTCTAAATCAAGATGATATCCACAAAGAGACAACAGAGAAATCTTGCTGTTCCTGTGATTGCTGAGGCTGCTATTAGGACTCCTGCCATTCAGCAAAGCAACTGCTGTTGTCCTTGGGAGCACCAATTCAGGATCCGCTTCAGTGGCTGTAATTTAATAGTAAAGGCATCTGAGGTTGAAAATGGGAACTTGGCAGGCATGCCTGGGAGAAGAGGGTTTTTTGTGCGCGAATCACTAAACCTTCAAATTCCTTCTGCAGCTCTGCTTCTCTCAGACATTTTATTTCCAGGAAATGTACAGCCTCAGCATGTCAAAAATGAGAAGCATGGGTAAGCAGCCAGTGTTAAAATCACAGAGGTTTATATTGAGCTGCAAAGTCAATTTGAGAAAAATTAGGGAGCCCAAGGAAGCAGAGCTCTTCTTTCTGCCCTATTCATGGATACTCCTCTTGAACTGGGCTCTGGACTGCAGACTGTGCACTCACATGCTTGTTTATGGGTTTAGGCAGCAAACTTCAGGCTTGGACAGTTTGATGAAACTCATGGCCTCATATCCAGGGCTCACGGAGATGCTGTGGTTCAGATGAGTCCCGATATGTTTGCATTCCCTGAGCCCTCGGTGAGCACAAGCCAGCACAGGTCAGCTCCACCAGCAAGGCATTGGGCTGTGCAGAGATAGAGCAAAGGCTGTAGCATCTGCAAGTGACTTAACCAGAGTGGGCACTACCCACAGCAACGAGAGCCAAGAGAGCCACGCCAGCTCCAAATGAGCCAGCACTGCTCTGGATGCTTTATAAGTCACTACTAAATGTCACATGGACAACAGCATCAATCTCTTTTTCACCATCCCCTGATTCATATATGAAATTGGCATATTAGGCATTTTTCCTTGGTAACCCAGCATTTGCCTGTTGACTCTGCATCAGTCACAGACATGAGGCAGCTTGGCTGGTCACTAATCCCACAGCTAAGGCCAGGGCAGTGAACTTTACCTGGTCCCAGGGAACACCTCCCTCTTACACTCATGCTCTTCCAGTTCCCATTTAAATAAAAGCTCTGGCAAGCCAAGAAAGCACTAATGCTGCTGAGCCTTCCCAGGTCTCCTCTGTCAGGCTGATGGTCATGATACAATTGATACATTTTCAAGAAGACAGTGTGTCCTATTGGTGTTAGCTAGTGTTTAGCATATTAGGATGATGTGTTTTGCTAGGATGAGAAGTGAGATGAAGCCTTAACAGTTAGGTCTAATGCCCATGGCATTTTTAAGCACTTACTTGAATGCAAGACGTGGCCATAGCTGAGATATGTCATTGGCAACCACATGAATACATAAAGAGAATGGCTGCTGCTGAATTTTGCTGTGATAGAGTGAAATCTTTACAATAAAGATAGAGGCTTAAGTGCCCATGTCCATATAAGCCTCAAGTCCACCCCAGCGTACCTGCTGGGGTGGCAGGAGCTGGGCTAGACTAGTCTCCAGCTGTGCGGGCCAGAGCCTTGAGCAGAGCCTAGCTGATAAAGGACAGGGACGAAGTCTCCAGCCCAAACTGTTTCATTCTCCATAAGCAAAATGTGCCAAAAAATCTTTTTTAAAAAACTCACATTTTCCAAAGAACCTAGTCTTCACTAAAAAAAAAAAATCCAAAACTGGCTCTGTGACTCATGCTACTACATATACAAAAAATGCAAATACATCCCCCTTTCTCCCAGTTCTCTTCCTGTGCAATCCATGGAGAGGAGGCAGCGTTCTGCAGACACAACCCACTATTCAGTTTATAGAACATCTAAAATAAAAACTAAGTACCTTCTGGAAGGGCTCTGTAACACAAGGGTGCCAACAGCTAATGCTGAATCACACTCTGCTGAGCTTTAGGGAAAAGAAAAGAAAACACAAGTGACTCTGAGTACTACTGCAACTGTAACTGATATTCTATTTGAATTAAACATTTCATTTACTCTGTCACAGTGACTGTGACCTTTTCAACTGCAGTTTAGCTCTAAATGACTGATGTTCTTCACATTACACATACGAAGCTCAACAGACTTGTTCTGTCAAAGAACGAAAATAGCTCTGT